AAAAAAAAAAAAAAAAAAAAAAAAAAAAAAAAAAAAAAAAGATCTGAAGCAACGATAGGAAGATGTTAACATTTAATCTGACATTTCCAAGTATACGCCTAAACACCTGGGATTTTAAGACAAGCACTGAGAAGAGTTAAGGTCCAGGCTCTGAATGTAGGAGTTAAAGGAAACAGCATGATGCATATGGTTGAGAGCTGGAAGAGCTGGAAGGTGTATGAACCAGGGATTAGAAAATATCTGCCCACTGGCACTGGCTCCAGGGGAGCAAGATGAAAGCAAGCTAGGTTAAAGGTGGAAAGTCTTTTGAAAAATATGTAAAAATCTGAATATCAAGTCCATTCAGTGTAGAGCTGTGGGTTCTGAGTTCACCCTACGTGTCCAGTGCAGGTCTCCTGAGTCAAACAGTTCACTTAAAAACTTGCCTGCAATTGCCAAGACTCTTGGGGCTTTCACTGGGACAAGCCTGAAATAGCTCGACAGGTATTTCTGACAATCTAGAGCACATAGAACTCCACTGAAAACAACTTCATTTGAAGATGAGTTCACAGTTAAAAGTTAAAAGCATAAGAGGAAACAAACCACCGAGAGAGAATCAGCCCAATAAACAAAAGAATCAACACCTTAAAAAGTCTTCCAGAGATAAAATGAAGGCATAGAAATCATAAGGCAAGAGAATAGCATTATGGAAGGAACAAAAAGGGTTCTTAAACCTTACAGTTTTTCCAGGTTTCCACTTTCCCCACACATTTGAAAGAAAAAGCTGTTTTAAAACAGAAAATGTAGTTACTAGAGTAAAAATTCAATCAATAGGTTAAAATACTAATTTATACTCAGTGTAATAAGAGAGAAATAGTAAATTGGAAGAAAGAGCTAATTAAAGTGCAAAGCAGCATATAGAAAGGGAAGGAAAATATTAAAGGGAAGTTTAGAAACCAAAGAGAAAGAATGATACCTGCTAAAATATATCTTACAGGAATTTTAGAAGGAAAGAACTGAGAAACTAGGGGAAAGATAATATTATAAAAGAGATAATGTCAGATTATGTTCCAGAATTGAAGACATGAGTTTTGGTTTAAAAAAAAACATACCAAATTCTAAACATAATAAAAACAATATGCATATGCATTAATTATAGAGAATATCAAATATAAAGATAAAATTCTTATAGAGTATCAGAAAGAAAAGACAGATTATCTACAAAGGAAAGCTAATCAGATCAATAGCACTCTGCTCATCAGCAGCAATATACAGAATACAATGGAACTATTTCTTTAAAATATTGAAGAAAAACAGCTATCAATCTAGTGGTCTACAGCCAGCTAAATTATCATTCAAGAGTAAGTGGGGGAAAAAAAATGTATTCACACATACAAAAGTAGAGATTACTTCACACAGACAAGAAATAACATCTTTGAAAGAACTACTAAAGGATGTACTTTAACAAGAAGAAAACTACACCCAGACGGAATGAGTGGGATATGAGGAACAATGAAAACACAGAAAATTATAAACAAATTACTAAATTTTAATAAGTTAGACTATGAAAATGGCAAGAGTGGGACTTTTGTGGGATAAAAACAGAGTCAAACTAGGGCCGGCCCGGTGGCGCACTGCTACAGTGCGCCGCTTGGGAAG